TTTTAGCTAAAGAAGCACTGGAAGACTAAAGCATTGGTTTATTGTACTATTTTAAGACAACATGTACTCTGGGCAAGAAAAGCTGTTGAATAATTAAGCACTTTTCTTGACAATAAAATAAAGTTTTGTATAAAAAAGCCAAGTGCTTGGTTGAGAAAAACAAAGAAATCCTAGGATTGTCAGAGGTTAACAGAATAATAGGGTAACAGGGTTGGAAGGGACCTTGGAGGTCTTCTAGTCCAACCCCCTGCTCAGGCAGGAAACCCTATACCATTTCAGACAAATGGTTATCCAATCTCTTCTTAAAAATGTCTAGTGTTGCTGCATTTACAACTTCTGGAGGCAAATTATTCCACTTATTAATTGTTCTAACTGTCAGGAAATTTCTCCTTAGTTCTAAGTTGCTTCTCTCCTTAATTAGTTTCCATCTGTTGCTTCTTGTCCTGCCTTCAGATGCTTTGAAGAATAGCTTGACTCCCTCTTCTTTGTGGCAGCCCCTGAGATATTGGAACACTGCTATCATGTCTCCCCTAGTCCTTCTTTTCATCACACTAGACATACCTAGTTCCAGCAACAGTTCTTTATGTGTTTGGTATAATACTATATACTTTTGGTATATACAATAAAAGTATCCAGAGCTGTTTGGCTTACTGTTAAGAGCAAATTCAAACTTCTGGTAGTAGCTTAAAAAAACGTCTGTTATTATGACATCAAGTTGTTTTGCATGGACTAGATTCTTCTCATCTGGTGCAGATTTTAATCAACAGCAGCCTTCTGCTACATCAAAACTCCACTGGGTTTTCCTTGAAACATCTCAGCACAATTTACCTTCCAGAATATTTGTAACATTTTGCAAATCTGCAGATGATACTAATCCAGCAGGAAAAGCTAACGCCCCAGAAGGCAAGCTCAGGATCCAAAAAGATCTTGACAGACTTGAACAATGGGCCCTGTCCAACAAAATGAATTTTAATGTGGAGAAAAGTGAGGTTTTACACCTAGGAAAAAACCAAAGGTTCAAATATAGATTAGGTGAAACCTGGCTCAAAAACAGTAGCTGTGAGAGAGACCTTGGAGTCCTAGTGCACGATCACTTAAACCTGAGCCAGCAGTGTGCGGCAGCTGCCAAAAAAGCTAATGCAATCCTGGGTTTTATAAACAGAGGCATACAATCAAAATCATGTGAATAGTATTAGTACTGGTTTATAAAGCCTTAGTAAGACCACACCTGGAATACTGCATCCAGTTTTGGTCCCCACATTACAGAAAAGATGTTGAGACTTTGGAAGAAGAGCAACAAAGTTCAGTCCTCAGGGAGAAGGGCGGCCTATAAATCTTAATAATAATAATAATAAAAACAAAGTTGATTAGGGGATTGGAGAACTAAAACATATGAAGAACAGTTGCAGGAACTGGGTCTGTCTAGTTTAATGAAAAGAAGGACATGGGGAGACATGATAGCAGCCTTCCAATATCTGAGGGGCTCTGACAAAGAGAATGGAAACTAACAATGGAGAGAAGCAAGTTATAAGGAAGGAGAAACTTCTTAACAGTGAGAACAATTAATCAATGGAACAAGTTGCCTCCAGAAGNGTATGGCTAGCTGATAAGAGCTAAATAGCTTGAAATAGATCTATACTAGTCTCCCTTTATTTATTTATCAGCACAAATAAACACACACACACACATACACACACATATATATATGTTTTTACACCTTCGCAGAAATCCTGTGTGGGGAGGCTCACTTCACTAAACTGGGCACTAAACTTTGTGACCCCTCACCTCTCCAGGTTAAATCGGGACCACAAGCAGGTCTGCGAGATGGATTGGTCAGACAAAGTGGAAACCTACAACATCGATGAGAAATGTGGGCGGTACACCAACCAGAGCACCAACATTCAATTCCACCCCAGCTCCTCCAAGTTTGAGGACAGGTGAGACCAAGTCCTAGTTGGGGATGAACCAAGGTCACCAATGATGGCATGGTTGGGCGAAACCCCCTGGTCCATCTTCCTTAGTCCCCCTCCTCTTCCGTTTTCTGCCCTCAAAGCAGAGCCCTTTTCAATGCACATTTGACCCTGGTCCTCCTTCCCTCTTTCTCTCTTCTCCCTTTTCCAATCTGCAATTCTGCACTTTTGCAAATGTTTATCTTAAGGGATGATGCTTGTAACTCAGCGTTGAAATGAAGGAGTCCTTGGAGCTGCTTGTTTCCTTGCAGACATTTCATTATCCTAACCTAAGTAAATAACCTTATCAGTGCCAGAAGGGAGGGGGAGTTGCAGAGAGGAAGAGGAGGACTACGACTGTGGGGTCCTTGGTGTTCCTGAGCGTGCTTCTTTTTTTCTTTTAAAAAATGTTTTTATTATACATTTTCCTTTATAATACATCACATTTTCCATTTTACAACGACAGTCCATCTCTTTCCGTCTTTTTCCTTGTCCTTCCCTCTCTTCCCTTCTTCCTTCTACTTTCCCCTCCTTCCCTCCTCCCTTCTCCTCCCTTCCCTTCCCCTCCACTCCCCCTCCCTCTCCTCCTCTTTCCTACTCCTTCCCTCTCATCCCTTTTCCTCTCCTCCTTTTCTCCCCTTCCCTCTCCTTCCCTCTCTCCTTCTCCTTTCCCCTTCCTCCTTCCCTCTCCTCCCTTTTCCTCTCCTCTCTCTGCTTCCCTCTTCGTCTGTCTCCTTCCTTCTCCTCTTCCCTCGGCCTTTCTCCCTTCCCTCTCTCCACTTCTCTTTCCTTCCATATTTTTCTTTTTGTTGTTGTATATAAATTTCCATTTCCCTACAAAGTACAGTATATTTTCCAGGTACTCTCTCTTTCAAATGTAACTGTACATTTTCTTGAAATTAGAAGAAAAGAAGCTTAAAATCTACATGAGCAGTGTGTTGATAGCAGTAATAATCATAATTATAGTAACAAATTGATAATATTTATTCTTTGTATTAATAATCTTTCATTATTTGATTAATCATTCTCTTAACCTTTTAATTTCTATCTTTTGCTTCTATTATCTAACTATTGATACCCATAGGGTCATCTTTCAGTTTCTAATCTACTTAATATTTGAATGTTGTTATATAGCAAATCTATTAGTAATAGAAATAATAATCATAGTTATAGTAACATATTGATAATATTTATTCTTCATATTAATATTTTTTCATAATTATTTTCATAATGATTAATTTTGATTAATTATTCTCTTAACCTTTTAATTTCTATCTTTTCAGTTTCTAATCTATTTAATACTTGAATGTTATTATATAGAGATATACGTAGCGATATTTCCCCCATTTCTCAATTCTACCTCTATCCTAGTTCTCACGCACCCAACTTCTGGCTTGAAAGGTATTCTACATCTCTCCCTCAACTCCTCCCCACAAACTGTTATTACCATAAGTTCTTGGGCCGTCTCCTTCGCTCCTTCCCTGGGATCTTGTATCTTCTTGCCTCATTTGCATTTAATCTACGTATTTCATCTCTCTCAATCGCTTCTTCACACTTTTGCGTCTTCAAAAAGCCTTTCCATGATTCTTTCCTCACTTCATGAGAATCTTTCTGTATAACCTCTTTTATATTTTGGTCTCTTGAAGTATGAAAGATATCTAGAGTATAATTTGCTTTTTCTCTTTCATATGTTTCTACTATCTTCTCTTTTTTTGTTTTTTTGTGTCATTCCCCCTTCTTCTCCTGTTTTTCTTTCTTTCTTTTTCTATTTTCGCCTTTATTTCCTGGGATTCCAGTTCTTTATTCAGTGCTGTTTGTTCATAGCACTCTGGTCTCACAATTATATCTGGAATCAATTGTTTTATCTCCCTGTGGTTCCTTGTCATCTCTTCCTGCATGTCTTTGGACATTAATAATATTCCTTTTAATAATACATTTATTTCTCATTGTTGTGACAGTTTGCCTTATTTTAGTAATTTAAAATTTTACTTTACTTTACTTTAAAGCTTTACCAAAAAGTTTCTCACAATCCCAGTTTCTTGTTTATCATACCAAGAGAAAATAGCCAATATTCCAGCAGTTCACAGATCACTCTGTTGAATTAACCATCTCTTCTTAGTTTCAAAGCAAGTCCAAACTGTTTCACACTCACACATCATCCACCAGATTTGTAGATTTGTAATCCTCAAGGTTCTAGCAGTTAAATGCTCTCACAGTCTCTCTCCAAACAGCCAGTATAATCAATTGCAGATGTCTTCAGCTTCTCTTTTAGGCATAAGGGATCTTTACTTATCACTTACTCGTCTTTGTAATGTCTTCCCCGGCCTTGTTCAGCTACACATATGGCCCCAACACTATTTTCTTTTTATTTTCTTCTTTTAATCCTTTTTCCAAACTCCCTCACTTCAAGATGACAACCAAGGTATAGCACAATATTTTAAAACAGTTTAATTTGCTGAAAAACTAGCCGATCCAGGCTTGTTTTTAAAGTTTTTAACATTTTTTGTTCGTTCTTTCTTTTCCGGGTCTGATATTCGCTCCCAATTTTTAGTCACTGCTTTTCTTTGGGGTTCAGAGAGGACCCTACCATCACTTCAGTTGAGTCCCACTCTCCTCAGGGGGTGCTTTAGGGAAAGTTTCACAGCAAAAATTAGAGATTTCTCACCCACATCGTACACACTGTTGCAAGATCTATCCCATCTTCTCTTCTGCTTCAGCTGTCATGGCTTCAGTTCAGCCATAATGGCCGTCCTCTCTTCCACCGGATAAAGGGGTTTTCTTTGGGTCAAACGAGGAGACTGTGTTCTCCTCGCGACTTCCAAAGCATCATCATCCCTCCAGGTGACTTGGTCCCATAGGGCTTCTCCAAGCGGGAGAAATAGATGGGACTTCACGGGGCTCCACTCCTCTGCGTCTCTTTGCCGTGACTTCCGCTGCCCTCCCCAGCTTGCTTCTTTTCTTGCAGATGTTTCATTAACCTAACTAGGTAACCTCATCAGTGCTAGAAGGGAGGGGGAGTTATAGAGAGGAGGAGGAGGACTGTGTGGTCCTTGGTGCTTTCTGAGCTTGTTTGTTTTCCTGCAGACGTTTCATTACCCCAACTAGGTAACATTATCCATGCTAGTCTTAGAGAGCACCAAGGACTCCTCAACGTTTACCTTCCCCAAAGCCTGTTGATGCTCCCTTCTTCTCTCACCGTGCTGATAAGAAATTAAGCAAGTCTTGGAGATACTGGTCAAATATTTGGTTTCATTGAGTGGAAAATAGCATCTACATCAATGTTTCTGAACCTTGGCAACTTGAAAATGTGGGCATCTTCAGGCTACCAAGATTGAGAAACATTGTTCCACGCATTGGACCTTTGATGAAGGTAATTTCAGAATCAAAGATGCCACTGCTTCAAAATTAGTATCAACGGCCATCCAGCTATGATGCTGTTAGTTCTAATACTGTGGATGGGGAAGCACCAGGATCAGATATTTTATTGATTCCCTTCTAATTCTTACTACTTGTGTTGATATTCTGCCTTTTCCCCATAGAGTATTTTCACTTGACTGTTTTGCTTGGTTGTGTTTGATTAGGGCTTGGACCAGTGGTGAAATCCAGCAGGTGCTGGAGAACCAGTAGCGGAAATTTTGAGTAGTTCAGAGAACCGGCAAATGCCACCTCTGGCTGTGGGGAGGGAATGGGGATTTTACAGTATCTTTCCCCTGCCATGCCCACCAAGCCACACCACGCCCACCAAGCCACGCCCACAGAACCGGTAGTAAAAAAAAATGAATTTCACCCCACTGGCTTGGACTCCTTTGCCTGTGTTTTTGCACATTGTCTTGGTATCTGTCACCTTGGTGGTGGTTTAATGCAGTGGTCTCCAACCTTGGCCACTTTAAGACTTGTGGACTTCAACTCCCAGAGTTCCTCAGCCAGCAAAGCACCAAGCTAACACCTCATGTGACTCAGAAACTAAGCCAAGTTAATTTAATCTTTCTTTTAACTTTTGTAATATGTGTTTTTATGTTGTACGCCGCCCTGAGTCCTTTGGGAGAAGGGCGGCATATAAGTCCAATAAACCTGAAACCTAAACCTGAAGTTATGCTTACCA